GTCTTTGTCTCTAACTCCTTCCCTGTAGTAGGATCCTTGTGTAGCTCTGCTACTTTCTCACATAATTCATTGAACAAGCCCTTTCCTTCCTCCATCCAGCCATCTTTTTTGCCACTCTCAGCATYGCAATACCTTTCATGGTGTTCATTGAAGATCAATATTAAAGCAAATGCCTCATCAKTGACTGAGAAGAAGATCTCCCTGAGAAATTCTGTGTCTTTCCTTTGCTTGAARTTACTGTTTGCTTGATTGATGGCAGACMAGATTCTGGTCACAAAATAATAGAATTCTTAATTCTCTGCAYCCTTGTAGTATTTCCTCCTGCTGTAGTCACCACCAGGACAATTTATGCTCCCCCAACCACTGTAGTCTGGGTCTTCAACAACTCCAATAGTACCTGGGAAGGAGGCTGGTGGTACTCAATTATTATCTTGATCAGCTGTGTTTAGGTAATAAATCATAGGAAGTAGTAACAACATACTTGCATTAGTGGGGAAAATAGTAGTACACAAAGGAAACCAAAAAGCAACTTACCAAGCCAGTTTTTCCAAGCCAAGGTTTGTGAATAATATAGCAAAGTGCTAAGTACGGTGACCACCWTTTTCTTAGAAATTTTAAAAAAGCTGCCAGGGTGATATCTTTTGSATYGTTGACCCTCTCCATATGCACTGCCTTCTTCATGATGTGAGCAGTGACTCTGTTATTTGCAGGGAACTTTACCTTGTCATACCTGTATTTTTTTACAAAACTTTTCAGTTGCCCTTCCACCACGCCAYGCATATTATTCAAAAGTTTGATGTCTCTTTTTGATAGGACGGCATACTTGTTGCTACTAAGATAACTYACTTTTTCAGGTTCTTCTTTGTTGTAGGACAATTCTTCTAATAGTACTAGTAACTTCTGTTATTTTTGTGGTCCACTGTGCTGCTTCTGTTTTACAAGCTTTTGCTCMATCATTATTTGCTGCATCATCTGAAGTATCATTTGTCTGACAGGAAGAGCAGCTGCAATAGCATCACTGTTGTTGTCAACTTCAGCATCACTATTATTGTCACTAGAAGCAATTGTGACTTTTTGAGAAGCTTTTTTATCCCTCTGGTTTCCTCCATCCTTGTTTGTACAAGCTGTTGTTGTTGATTGTCTATTGCCTCAGGACTGTGATGACGAGAAGATGAATTATTAGCAGTGGCATTGYTGTTGTTCCCCACATTGGGACTGTCCATTGTGACAATCCATTGTGACAGAAGTTTCCATGTTGGCTGTGACACACGACATGGTTGAAGGCATGGTAGCACTCCTCTTGCTAATATTAGCTGTTGGCTTGGTGATACCTTTCTTAGTAGTAGGTCTAGTGGTGATATTATTCTTGGGYTTCCTACTGTAGTAATCTGGTTTGGGAGGCCCTTACCACAATGCAGGGTGCTCACGCCRTTATCATTTGTCATGTTTAGACCAGCACAGAACATTTTTTTACACAAAGCAAAGTTTTATTATGTTTGGGCACAAAAAATCCCTTTTGACTCGACAGGACACTTTGCAGTGTCTAGCTGATGCATATGCAGACATTCACAAGGTGTGGCAAAGTGGATGCTGTGATGATTTGAACCAAAACAGAGACCATGAAATACATTCTTGATGTCATGGTGTGACTGATTCTTGAAGTATTTAATCTTTGCTCMTGGACTAGCATCATGGAAAGAGTGGAAATCCTCTGGTGTCCACTTGGTTGTATTTTCTTGAAAAGAAGGAATGTTGATATTTGGAGAAGAACAATTGCAATTTATGCACATTTGAGCCACGCCCTTGTTAAAGRAGCCATATTTTCCACAAAGTTGGTCATGCAATTCTTTATCCCCAATTATGTATGCAATAGGGAACTTCAATTCTACCTTCCATTGCTTACCTGCGTACCAGAGGAGGTGGTCCCATTTTATTCCAGACTCTTTGTTACATACATCTCTAAGTGATTTGAGAGCTRCTTCAAGCCCTGTGTGTAGGTTTTGCATTTTTTCTTTTGCTGTTGCTGGGCATGTGTCTGGTAGACTCCCATTCTGCATCAGGATGGAAGTACATGGTTGTCCAAGCTTCTGGTTTGGTGYGTGTTGCAACACTGAAAATACCCAGTGTCATATTTAGTGGTGTGAGTGTGAGTCTTCTGTGTGCATCCAAAGATATTTCATCCATGTAGAAAATGATGGGAACAAGAATTTGTGAATCAGAGGTGCTGCAGGTGCAAATTTTATCCCAAGAGGTTTTCCACAAGGCACCGTGATGGTGCAATTTTGAAACTACAGAATCATCATTCAACTCTGGTTCATTACATGAAGACAGAGGAGTTGTAGAATCAGGAAATGAGAGATTTCTTCCCTCAAGCTCCTTGTTTGAGAGTACTGAGTAT